TACATGTTAGGCTACTCCACATATTGCCAATTGGTTTTATGTTGGAACCTTAACACGTGCCAACAAGTTAAGCCTATAATTAAACCCCATACTTTGCTTCATTTTGTTTATCATTTATTCATTCATATTTGGAACAATATACATGCATATTTTCGTCATCAAACTAGGACAATGGCACAATAATTGCATTTTGAGTTAAGAAACTCACCTTAGGATAATTGCATTGTTATGAATGTCTTTCTTATATTAAGTCTCTTATTCACTCTCTGTGTTCGGTTGCAGGTCTGGTTTCTTTAAAAGAATATTTGGATTCAATTCTTGAGTGTCTTTCCCAAGAATATCATTTTGTTATTGCATTTATTGCGAGAAAAACAAATTGTATGACTATTGAAGAAGTTGAATGTAAGAAGTCAAATTTGGTCTTTTCTATTAATCTAGTTCAAGCTCTGATACCATATTAAATATATCAAGATATCTGATTCATTATTAAATAAAATTATAAAAGTTCTAATACCACTTACAATATATATATATATGGGCATAGGAGTCTTACATATGGGAAGCGAAACAATTGTAAAAAACTACAATTGTCAAAACTATTCAGATCAGAAACAGTAAAAGAAAAGACATTTCAAAAGCATATCTCTAACACTCACCATTTATTCTTGAATCTACCTAGTGAAATGTTTAGGGTTCAAAGACAATGTCAAATGGCATTGGTACTATTATATTTATATATGAGAGAGAGTACAAAAAGGGGTTGGGTCTCAACCCAAACCCTAAACATAGGAACATATAGATTGCAATTAAATCATATCTCAACACTCACCCTCAAGCTAAAGCATAAAGATTACATGCACCAAACTTGAAACATATAAACTGAATCCTAATTAAGAGATTTAGTTAAAATTTGTTCAATAAAGCTCACAAACTTAGTAATGAGTTCCTTCGACAACAACTTCTCTTTGAAAAAAGAGAGTCGATCTTGATATGTTTTGTTCTCTCGTGAAACACTGGATTAGAGGCAATATGAAAAGTCGTTTGATTATCACAAAACAACTTCATCTACTCACTATCACAAATTTTCAATTCTTAAAGGAGTTGTTTAATTCACACAAGCACACACATAACAAAGTCATATTAAGCAACAATACTTTGTTTATTACTCTTCCAAGAAATCATATTCCCTCTAATAAATAAACTATACCCAGTAGTAGATCCTCTATCAATAGGACAATCTAGCTAATATGCATCACAATATCCTAACATATGAGTATTACCTTTGTCTTTATACAATAATCCTTGTCCTAGAGCCTCTTTTACATATATGAGAATGTGAAAGGCATTCCATTGATCAACACTAGGATTTTACATGTATTGAATAACCATTCCAAGAGATTTGGTCTGGTAATAGTGAGATGGATGAGTTTTCCCACCAACCTCCAATATTTCTCTAGTTTTGAGAAAATTTCACCTTAGTCTCCCATTAAATTTTTATTAAGATCCATCGAACTATTAATGGGCTTGCACTTTGTCAAACATATCTCCTTTAAAATATCAAGAACATATTTGATTGAGCAACTTCAATACCAAGGAATACTTCAAATAACCAAGATCTTTGGTTTGAAAGTGACCAAACAGATGTTTCTTCAATGACTAATCTCAATGGAATCATTGTCTGTAATAACAATATCATCAACATAGACTATATGATAAGCACATTATCTTGAAAAATTATGACAATAAACACTGAATGAATTGTCTCACTCCTTTCAAAGAAAAAAATTTGCACAATGTGATTGAATTTACCAAACCAAGTCCGGGGTAATTGCTTCAAACCATAAAGAGACAAGTGTAGTTTACACGCTAAACCAAACTCTCTTGAGAACAAACCCATATGCTGCTCCATATAAATATCTTCCTCAAGTCACCATGAAGAAAGGCATTCTAAATGTCAAGTTGGTGAAATGACCAATGACAAATAACAAAAAGAGTCGACCAGTTGAAATCTTAGCTATAGGAGAAAATGTCTCATAGTAATCAAGACCATAAATTTGAGTGTAGTCTTTAGCCACTAAGCAAACTTTAAGACAATCCATTTCATTAAATAAACTCAATTACATCTAGAAAATTCATCAATGAAGGTTACAAAATATTGAAAACCAAAAGAGGAGACACGACTCAATCCCCAAATATCAATGAATATTGGAAAAAGAAAAATTACATAGAGTTTTAGATAGTTTAAGACATGTAGACGTAACATGTTTTCCTAATTAATAAAATTCCTAAAAGTGTGAGGACATGTGGATTAATGTAAAACTCAATGGGAAGATAATAATGAGGAAAATGCGATAGAAAAATATTCTTTAGCAATATCACTTTTAAGAATTTTAATTATCTTTTCAAATTGGTTTTTAATCTCAATAAAAAAAAACACAAATATGGATAAAAGTTTAGGATAGTCTTTCAATAAATAAACCTAAGTACATTGAAAAAATTCATCAATGAACGTTACAAAATATTGAAAACCAATAGAGGAGACACGAATCAATCCCCAAATATCAAAATGAATATTGGAAAAAAGAAAAATCACATAAATTTTTAGATTGTTTAGAACATGTTGACCTAAAATGTTTTCCTAACTAATAAGATTCATATTCTAAGACTTGAAGATGTTTTAGATTAGGAACCACCATTCTCAACTTCTATAAGTTTGGATGACCTAAACAATTACGCAAATATTTTGGAACAATAGTAGCAACACACGACACAGATGAGCTCAGATTCAGATAATAAAGACCACTTTGATTCATGTCTTTTTCCAATCAAATGACACGTACAATGGTCCTGAATAACAAAAGAATTTGAGTTAAAGGTTACATAATAATTCAGAGTACGAATCAAATGACTTCGAGAAATCAAGTTGTAATGACAATTAGGAATGAAAAGAACATAGTTTAAATTCAGTGAAGGGGATAAAGGAACTTGGCCAACTCCTTCAGATGTCACTCTGGATCAATTAGCCTAAGTAAACAATTGAGGAAGATAAATAATTTTTGTAGTTGAGCTTGGCACTGAAAATAGTAGGAGCATGATTATCAAACTCGCGAATTAACTTGCTAACTCAGACGAGTTTGTGAGTCAGAACAATAGTCACAAGTGAACTCACAAGTGAACTCGTTCATAAACTTGTTTATGGAGTAAACTCGTGTTGACCCGAGTAAACTCGACAAAACTCACGAGTTCACCATCGACGAAGGTTGTTAAAATCGAGATTATGAGTAAGATCGGAAAGGGTCCACAAAATCGTAAATTGTGGAGTCGTAATACAAATCGTAGATCCTACTCTTATATAATATAAAATATATATTAATATAATAATAAAATAAATACCAAGTCAAATCTAAAAATACACCAAAATATACATAATTTGATCATAAACTTTAAAAAACACATATCATGAAACAAGGTTTAAGCCATAATTATAATTCTTGATGGTTAAAGCCTAAACAATAACTATGAATCGGGCAAAGTGAGGTGGCAATTTGATTGTTTAGGCTTGCCTAAACAATAAAGCCACTGGCAATAAAGCCTAAACATTATGACTATCCATAACCTTGCTTTAAAAAAAGAGCACGAAAAGTTTGTTCTTCTTCAATAGTTTTAAATACTAACAGATTTTTTTTCTTTTGTCACTATTGGGATTGCGATCAGTGATGACACAGCCCTAACCCGTGACCCGCGACAATTCAACCCCAACCCGTGACATAGCCCCCACCTTGTATTTTAATGAGGAATGTATCAAACTTAGGGTGACTCACCTGCACCCGGAGTTTGAGGGGGACTATTGGCTAGCTATATCCATTATATGTGTATATGTAAAAATTTCTGTTAGAGAACTGAGTTATATACATGCAGAGTCAACATGAAAGCTTGAGTCAGTTAACTCTGAATACTACTACTGTAATCAACTGCAATAGACTAATGCATTTTAGTTATCTTCAATGTATTTTCTGCTCATATACACAGAGAGACGAAAAATGTCTGTGAGGCTGAAACATAGTTACTCACCACCAGTTCATAAAAGTATAAAACATTTCATCTCTTAGGGGAAGGAAGTACAATTCTACTCTACTTAAAATTAAAGAAATGGATGAAGTACTTTAAACACCATTCTAGGTAGAGAAAAGCAATTTACTGAAAAAGTATTAGATATACAGAAAGAATAGAAAATCTGGCAGAGCATGTATCAAGCTGATTAGGCCAAAAGAGAACTACCCCAAAAATGCTAGAAAGCAGTCCTAGCATATCAACATCAAGGTTCCTTGTAAAAAACCCCAAGCAGGGCATTAAGAGAAACCAAAAGCACATTTCTCACATAACAAAATGTAAGGTCACACCAAAAGATATAGGCATTCTACTTAAACAAAATAAAATGAAGAATTAAATAGCTCATAAACTGCCACAAATCATATCTTATTCCGAGCAAGTCCTTCAAGCATCCAGTATCACATGAGAAAACAATCTCTCATTTAATTCATATTTTTCAAAGTAAACTTATCTCGGAAGAAATTCACAAACAAGTACATATGGGAGGGATCTTACAAGTACATATGGGGAATCTTGCGAATGGCCAACTATTTGTTTGAAAAAAAAAATACATAGGGCTAACTATAACCAAGAACTACAACATACTACTACTTATATTACTTGGTACTTATAAATATGCTCATCTCCAGGACATTGGCAGTAGATTTCCCTATCAGCATTATAATTTGAATGATTAAAAGGGTGTTTTGTTTCCAGAGATTTGACAAAACACAAACAGGTGAATTACAATTCACTCAATAATAGATAATGAAAGAAAACATTGTTTACATGCCAAAAAATAGGCATGTAACAATAAATGAAAAAAATAACTATAATAACACAATCAACTGACAAATAACAAACATCTGCACACCCTACTAAATAAGATGCTTCAATAAAAGCAATCTGACCTCAATCTGCTGAAGCTTGGCTTCGAAAAGGTTTTCCCGATCCTCCTCCTATGACAAAATAATCTCAATTAGTGAAAGACATAGATATATCTTAAGTGCACAATTTGCAGACAATTTAATTAGGTGCTAATTAAATAAGTACTTATCAAATAAGGACTTATGTATAAATTGTTTTCATAATGAAAGAGAAAAAAAGTTTAAATAATTTTATACAAGTTATAAGTTGCTTTTGTAAGCTATCCCAAGCCTTTTATTAAAATAAACTGAAAAACACAGATGATGGACATATGATAAATTACTTTTATAAGATTTTCCAAACACTTACACTAGTTCTTATGTCACCATATTCAAATAAATTATAAATTATAAATAATATCTTCAAAGCACGTCCTAAATAGACCAAATACAGAATACTATTGTACCTTCATAGACCGACTATCAGCAACAGGATGAACTAGAACAAACACACGATCGATCAAAACAATCACAGGTTCTTTCCCCAAACTTTTCCAGGGAACCTATATTACATTAGTAGCCAAAAAAAATCAAATAAACTTTCATTTGAAAGCATATGGATGAATTCAAGAGAAAGTGAAAACATAAAAAAGAGAGAATATTATGATAAGGAAAAAAACTAAGTCTCACATTAACTAGAGATAAGACCAAGATAGAGGATACAAGTGGGGACAACCCTCACTTAACAAACCGGTTTTGTGAAGTTGAATTGGGGTCAAACCCACGTTCCAAGAACTATAAACCAGAAAGCATTGAAAAATAATATAACAGAATGCAATGCAATTATGAAACCTTTCTCACAAGCACGTTGTGTATCAAATATTTATAATTTTAAACACACCTACACACAAATCTAAGTGCGTACATGTGTATCTATTGTATTGATATAGTCTTAGAAAAATAGAACACATAATGATACATGAATATATGTGTGTATGACTAACAAACCCAAGGAAACCGTAAAAGTGTGACCCTTAAGTTGACAGCACACAACCAGTGTTGAATTGATATAGACAAAGAAGATAACTGGCAAGAGAAAGAAAGAAAGATAGAAAAAGGAAATTTTTTTTTTTTTTGCTGTTGTATGAAAGTTACTTACAACAGATTACACAATGCTCTTATATAGATCATGGCAGTAATAAAGGCAGTTGGATTTGCTATGGATAGAGGATGGCATAACTGGGGATCAAGAGTGATTTAATGTTGGTGGTTGAAGCTTTTTTAACTCACACATTGTGCCTTGGCAGCTATGCAATCAATGAAATAACACTGTTTAAGATTACGTATACGAATTTTCATGTATCACATAGAGAAGGCAATTCATACTCAGATAACCTTGCCAACTATGGTGTTAGTCATCAATGTAATAGGTGGTGGCATTCCATTCCAAATTTTATTAGCTATGATTTTGTTAGGGATAGGTTTCATTACCTATCTATAGGTCTGCTAACTAATAGGGTTTTGGTCTGGTCATCCCATAAACTTCTATTTTATTTCTTATATGTCATTTTGGTATATTACAAATGATTCATGTAGCTAGGGATGCTAACGTAGATGGGATCATAAGTTATATAGTGATGTTTTTGCATACCTCCCTTTCAATTAAAAAATTCAAAAAAAAAAGACAATTGTACAAAAATAACAAACTACTGCATAACAGAAAAATCAACAATACTCTAAATGATTATAAACAATATAACTGTATGAGTGATACAATACTCACACAACCTCCCTCAAACTCAAAGTTTATGTTCTTTAACAGGATTAACAGCAACATTGAGTTTGTCTCTCAAAAACAGAAACCAAGCCGAAGATAGAGGTTTGATAAGAATATCAGCCCACTGAACTTGAGCTGAAATATGCTGCACATAGAGACATTTAGACATAACTTTCTCCAGCAAAAGAACAGACCAGTTTTCATTTTTGATTCTAGCTTGAAGAACTGGATTGTGGGTTAGGCTACAGCACTCTAGTTACCACAGTAGATAACAGGAGGTCCATGCGAAATACCAAGTTCCTTTAACAATGAAACTAAATTGTTTTCATTGTTGTTTGAGCTAAACTGTGATATTCAGCTTTGATACTACATCTTGCTGCTACAGTCTGTTTTCTGGACCACCAATAAATGATACTGGATCCAAGAAAAACAGCTGCCACAGATGTTGACCCGCAACACATTGGGATCAACAACACAATCTGCATTACCAAAGGCTTGCAAAGAAAAAAGGAATGCAGATGACATAGGATGAAGATGAATACCATAAAAAAAGTGTCCCTTAAGATCCTAAAGAATTTGTTTGGTAGCAACCCAATGAGACAAGAGGTTGAGCCATAACTTTGGCCTTATTAACCATGTAGCTTATCTCGGGATGAGTAACAGTAGCATACTGCAACACACCAATTACAGATCTGTATAAGGTGGCATTTGGAAGAAAATCAGAACCTGCTTTAGAAATTCACAGATAGAAGCCACTGGAGAGGAAATGGGACTGGCTTAATATATTTGACTTGTGAAGAATATCAAATGTATACTTGCTATCAGTTAAAAGAAGACAACCATCTTGAAGAACTCTGAATTCTATAACCAGAAAATAATCAAGTTGTCCCAGTTGCTTAAGACAAAAAGTAGAGTTAAGTTGAAAAATAACAACACTTGAGGAGCTACTAATTACTAAGATGTCAGCAACATACAAGCAAATAGGCATTATCAGTGGCAGAATGATAAATGAATAGTGAAGGATCACATTTCCAATACTTAAACCCATACTGAATAAGAGTGTTTTAGTGTTTGTAAAATCATCTTCGTGGGGCTTTTTTAGACCGGAAGTAGATTTATTGGGTTTGCAAGCCTGTGAGCAATTAGCAACCTAAAATCCATGTGATTGTTGCATAGAGACAGTTTCCTTCAAATTACCATTTAAGAAGGCATTATTAACATCTAATTGATGAAAAAGAGAGTGATTTGTGAGAGCTAGGGACAAAATCAATCTTATGACAATAGGTTTGATAACATGGAAAAAATTTTCATTGAAGTCAAAGCCAGGTTGTTGATGAAAACCTTTTGCTACAAGTCTAGTTTTATATTTGTTAAGATAGTCATCAACATTTTATTTGACTCGAAATACCTACTTGTAACCTATAGCCTACTGATTAGGAGGAAGACAAACCAAATTCCAAGTATTATTCATTAGGCATCAAACTCTTGTCTACTTAGGGTGTACATTGACAAGATGAGATGAAGAAATAAGACTATAAGAAATAGTCACACATTGAGAAGGAGACAGGAAGATGTTCAAGAAATGGGCCATGTACGAGCTAATCATATAAGAGAACATGATAGCATTTTTAATCCAAAATCTTAAGGAACTGAGTTTGTAGCAGGTCTTTTTCCTTATATAGTGCTCATCTTGCCCATTTCTACACAATATGGGACTCCCAACTCACACCAATCGTACTCGTTGGTTACCAAGACAAAATTGGCCCTAATACCAAACTTTTAAGGATTGAGGAGGAACAACAAATGGGGAGATATTCAGAAAATAGGTCATAAGTCAACCATATAATAGAACATAACACCACCTACAACCAAAAGCTTAAGACAATGGATTTGTGGGCTTTCTTCTTATATATTATTCATCTTGCCCATTTCTACATAATGTAGGACTCCCAACTTACATTTGAAAACTAACAACAGTATTTTGCATGTCAAGAGTATATTTAGAGACAATAGGAATAGAACTTGAAAAAGAGGATGATAGGAAACTGAACTAGTAATATTCTCCACTGGAAAGAATTGAGAATAGAAAAATCTTTGCTCATTGAAAATAACACCTAGATAATCAATTTACTAGAAGGAAAAGAAAATCAGGAGTGTTTAAACAGAACAGTATATGGAATTTTGAAGTTTAGAGAGGCTGTATGTAGTCTATTAATAAGATAGACAGCTATAGTAAATGCATGATCCCCCACATTTTTAAAGAAAGAGAAGCATGGCTTAGTAATTTAAGCCAAGGTCCAAATGTGTCTATCCATTCTGATGATGGCTGTGAAGACAAATGAGTCTATGTTGAATACCCAAATCAGCAAGAAACTTGGACCAGGGTATAAACTTGCCACCCTCAGTTTGATCGCTTTTTAAAGATCCTTGAAACTAAAGTTCAGCTATGGCATTAACAGACTTATTCCTGAGAAGATAGAACCACGAAAATTAGGCAAAGCATCAACAAAAGTGATATAATATGAGAAACTGTTAGATGATAAAACAGGAAAAGGACCCCATAGATCATTGTAAACAAGTTCAAGAGGATAATTGTAAAATGATTGAGAAAAGAAGATGAAACTCTGTGCGCTTCGCCAAGACAACAAGCATTACAAAATGAATAAGAAGCCTCTTTAATATAAAAAGGGATACTACATTTCTGAAAGATGGTTTTTTTCTCAGAACATGATTATTGGGATGTCCCAACCTAAAAATTAAAGACATTAGTATTATTTGCTACAGAATTTACAGGAATCGAGGGTTCAAATGTATACTAGAATATGAAGTTGAAAAAGAGTCTTCAAGATGCATAGGAAAGGCATAGAGATCATCAAGGTCAACATGTCATTGGACTAACACCTCGCCAATGACCTAACCTTTAACAAGGCAGTTAGTAGCATGAAATTCAAAGTAAACAGATTTTTCTATTGTAAATTTACTAACAGTGTTAAGATTTTTAGGGATAGTAGGAACATAAAGAAGACTACGAAGAGCTAACAAATTAGTTAGAATATTGGGAGCAAAAATATAGAAATCAGATTGAATGGATAAACCCAATCCACTACTAATGTCAATTTGCTCTGGTCCATCATCAGGTATATTCTACTGAATATTCTGACTGTCTCCAGTGACATGGAAAGATGCTCCAGAATCAGCACCCAAGTAGGAAGCTGGGTGTTGGGAGTGGATAACAACCAACCCAGTTGCACTGTTAGTCGAGGATGTTGTCCTTGTTGTGAGAGAAAGCGATAATTGGCACACTGATACTGAAGAGGTAGAGCAGAAAAATGTTGCTGCTAAAAAAAATGTGAGTAAGAACAATTATGAGCAAAAGAACTGAGTCTTCCTTGATGATTCAGGTTTGAAGCACCTGTAAAACTTGGATAGAGATTGCCTGGAGAATAAGGATGATAACTGTGATCCAACTGATCTTGCTGTTCCCAAAAATACAGTATGCAGGACTGATTTTTTCGGCATTGCGATCAGCTTGAGTAAGAAAACAATGACGAGTCGAAGGGTTAACAACAAAATGTTGAAGACAATGTGATTTAATACACAACTCAACTCAGTTTTCTGCCATAGATGACCATTCAAGCTCTTGTTGAATTGATATAGAGAAAGAAGATAAAGATTGAGAGAAAGATAGAAAGTGGAATCTGATTTTTTTTATTGATGTAAGAAAGTTACTTACAACAGAGTACACAATGCTCTCATATATGACTGAACTAACTGTAATTGCAGTCATAGTGACAGCAGTAAGAAACTAACTAACTACTGCATAACAGAAAAATCAACAATACTCTAACTGATTATCAACAATATAACTGTCCAAGTAATACAATACTCACAACCAGTAAAGCTAAATGACTGAATGTACCTTCAATGTAATTGTACCAACAAAGCCAGATTTGACAGTAACCGGCAGTTTTAGTGCATTTAGTGCCTCTGCCTTCAGTTTCAAATCTTTCAGGACAACATCGCCTGCAAACATCAATGTCTTGGTTGAAATATCAACTAACATCACAGCTCAATGGAATACAGAAAAAATATGGCAGGAATTTGAAAATTAAGAAGCATAGTCAGCAAGACACATAGTCACAACCAAATAATGTATTTTATAGGAAATTAGTCAAATGAAAGATATTCACAGGCACAAATTTGAATTTGGTTCAACTGAAAAAACACAAAGAACAAACACATTGAAATGAAACTACATCTATAATATACCTGGCACAGGCTTTCAATATGAATAAATCAATCAAAGAACGAACCTTAAAGAAACTGATAACTAAGAATTAAAAAAAAAAGTTTGGAAAAACAAGCTCATCCTAAAAAATATCAATTTATTCTAAGGATAATAACGTTACACTCCAACAAAATGTACTAAAAGTGCATAATGCCAGCATATTTGACTTTCCTTTGTCCTCACAAAACCACTAAAGTGAATTATACAATGAAGAGGAAAAAAAAAAATCCAAAATAGGACAACTCCAATGTTATCCAAACAACTTGCTCTATATTTGCCAATTTACCTCACAATGCAGTAAGTGTCACCAGGTTTAAAGAGTTTGAACAAAATTCAGAATATACGCTCAGTTTGATATAAATTCAGAACTTACAAAGACATTTGACAAAATTAGCAAGTAGTGGCCGGCTGGTATAAATCAGAAAGAAAAAACGAGGAGCAACGGGCGTCCATATAGTGTATAGAATGTATATATAAAAAGAATACACCATAAATAACAAACACTAAACCTATGTACTAAACTTATGCTTGAATTCACCGGACGCAGTCAAAGAAGTGAGTAAAATGTGAGAAAATGGCAGAATACAAACCCTTCCAGACACTTATTCTCAACGCCTCCGAAGAGAGTCCGTGAACATATTCGCCCAAATATCTTCGAAGCAAATGCAAAACCTGTTAAAAAAGCATCGTCAGTATCACCTTCGTCCACAAGATTGACCGAGAACATATCACGCAAAGCGAAGCAAAAGACGCACACAAAATTCCAAATCCAACTCAAATTCAACAAACAACGAGTAATAGAAAGCAACATTGCAAACGCACGAATCAAATTCAAATTAAAATTAAGATTCAAATTCAACTCCGACATGTTTGCTGAAAAGAAAGACGAGAAAAAGAGACATCGCACTAGCACACACGCACGCAGGCACACAGAGGAAATTAAAATTGAAAATCGAGCTCGAGACTTTTGCGGAACAGAGAGTAACGAAGGAGATTCTTACGTGAGCTTCGAACATGGTGAAGGAATCGGTGTGCGATCAATTAATGGTGAAATTGGAAAAGATGCATGCTGAAGAAGATGAAAAAAATAGAGGAGAGACTATTAGAGAGAGAAATGGATTAGGGCTGGTGATCCTGAGATTGGGACGGTTAAATAGAAGAAATGGCGAGAAAATATGAGAATGTATTGGCCTTAAGCTTAAGCTATATAGGTCCCGGTCACTCACAACGCATGCTTATAAGCGGGGACATGTAATGTAATATAATGCCAGAACCTGGTACTTGCTGACACCGACCCTGCGGTCCACTAATTTCATAATGTATTCTTAAATATATTTAGATGTTTAATAAATTTATAGATTAACTAGTATTATTAGTACCATGTAGTGTATATATATATATATATATATATATATATATATATATATATATATATATATATATATATATATATATATATATATATATATATATATATATATATATATATATAGTATTATTACCCGCATAGTAAGAAGATACCGGTAAAGATTCAATACAAAGCAACTTCAACCTTCAATATATCTGTGTATATAATAAATTTTATTAACTCAACCTTAATATGTTCATCAATGGTAATATTATACATTATAAACTTGTCTGTAGAAAGATGAAACAGTTTTTTTTTATAATTAAAATTATTTTACGTATAAATAAGTTTATTTTATATAAACAATTGTTTTGCCTTACTCTTTGAAGTGTTTAAAATGACAATATCCTCGGTTTCACATGCATACATTATGATAGATAGTTATTTTATAATGCTGTAAAAAATATTTTACAATAATATAGTTTTCACTCCTTAAAAAAAAACTCGGTTAACTTTCTCAAAGTATATATATATTTTTTGTTTTTATTTTATAATTTTGAAATACATTATTTTTACTTTTAGTTGTCTTAGTGATTCGGATAAAAATGTATATAAAGAAACAAAAAGGTAGTTTCAAAAATTATTTGTCGGTGTGTTTTTAATTTTTTTTTAGTTTTGAAATACACTACTTTTAGTTCTCCAAGTAATTCAGATTACAAGTTATAGGGATGAAAAATAGTTTAAATATAGGGTTTGAAAAATAAACCCGATGAATTTTTAAAGTTAGAAAAAAAATACTAAAACTAGCTTAAAAATTTTTAGAAGACTAAAAGCCTATTATACCTGTAAATTAGTGTTACTTGTATATATGACTAATTTTATTTAAAATATGGTTTCATTCATTTAACCTTTAAATTGTAATTATATATATATATATATATATATATATATATATATATATATATATATATATATTAGTTGTATCAAATATTTAAAAATAAAATAACAAAAAAAACATAATCAGGTCAAATTTATTTTCATGTATGCAATATATATATATATATATATATATATATATATATTATGATAATCATATATATTAATGCATTGTCAAATAATAATTAATCTAAAAAATTGAAATACATTCCACTTATAAGAAGTTTAATTCCTAGAATAAAAATATTTTGACAATTATTTATTTACAAACATTCAATATACAATCTTAAAATAATATTTTTTATTAATGAAAAAATAATAAAATAAGATAAATATATATGACAAAAAGTTATTAAATAGTGCACATCATTCAATTGTCTGTATTATTGGGTTATAGATTGATGTAGCAAAGAGAGAGACACGTGTACATTTAATTGTCCCTTTAGGTGAGAAAAGCAAGTATTAGCAATTTTGTACATTCTTGCGTTTAAGTTGGATTGTGTGTTGAAACTTTTGTCCATCGCACCATGTGACAATATAGGCATTATTGGGTCTACATGCCGGCCATTGGTATTCATTTGATCACTAAGGAATCACGTAATTGTGTTAACATAAAAAAAACAAAATAATATCGTCTGGGGAAGGATGGATTTCATATAATGCAAGAGCCACAAAAGCTTTTTCTAAAACATTATTTGTTCGAAAATATTATTTCTTAAAATCAAAATAAACATAAAAAATATTAATTATTTGACAAACTTTTTTTGGATAACAAATCTTAAAAGATAAATAAAAAATTTACATCACAAAATATGTTATTTGAATAAAAATTTAAAAAAGAATCATAATAATAATTTAATTACTTATATATAGGAAATTTTAAAACTAACATAACAAGTTTAATAAAAAATAAAATTCTCATATATTTTTTTTAAAATTTAAATATTTTAACTTTATATTTCGTTAGTTTAATCTTAATTAGAATATTTTGATGATCGAAACATTTTTAACTTAATTGATTTTACTCAATTTTAGTTGAAAAGAGTTTGGAATATTGTTGAGGATTTTTTGTTTAAATTAAACTAGATCATAATTATTATATTTTTTATCTATTATCATGTTTTTTCTTCTTATATAAGTTAGTCTCTCTTTTTTCAACTCATATTAGCAAATAACTTATTTATCAACATTAATAATGTTTTTCAATTATTATTAAACACAATTTTTAAGACACCAAGTTAAATTATTGTTAAGCAATTATTATTAAACACAATTTTTAAGACACCAAGTTAAATTATTGTTAAGTGATAGTAATACGTAGTGTGTATTTTATATAATGTGCAATGATATGATATTTGTAAGAATTATTTTTCAATCTACAATAATAATTTTCGAGTCCAACATAAGAATAATATATCAAAGTTTAAGAATAAGTTAAATCTTATATTATCTAAAAAATATATAAAATTGAGTAACTAAAATTTAATATTCTTTATTAAAAGTAAGGTTATATTTTTGTAATAGGATTAACTTGGTGTGTTATTCCTAAAAACCTTATTATTTTTCCAACAAAATAAAACTTTTAATCGGATATATTTTTAATAGACTAAATTACTGAAAAAAAAATTATGTTTTATTTTTTTTGTTTAGTCCATCATGTTCTAAAACAGTTTAATTAAATTGTAGCTAAAGCCTTAAACTTTTCTCTTTTATATGCTTTTGAAGTATGATAAATAATCAAATTTTGATTTTAGTTCCTGATAATTTTTTTTAATTTCTAATTCCCGGTGAATTTTTTTTATCTAAAAACACAGTTAAATTTGAGCACCAACATTTACTAATATCATAAGACCCAAATCAACAAGGTATACTAATTTCATAGACTGAAATAACATTCTTATGATTTTATAAATTAAACTAATCTATATTAATAATTCCATTGACTAATTTGGAAAATTATTGGGGAGTTAATCTACCAATGCATTTAAAAAGAAAGATAATTTTACTTACAGAATCCCTGTACTGAGACATTTATAGGAAGAAGTACATATACAACAAAAACGAAATGTTCAGATAAGAACGAGACACGATACCGAAGGCATAGAATGACACAATTTTCCACAAGAAGATAGATACGAGTCACTTCTCTCACTTCCTTTGACACATACCTCTTACACGTTGCAAGACACGAACACATTCACAAAACACTGAAAAATCAAGAGCTGAAAGACCTACACCTGCTTGTAGCCCGGAACTTGAGTAAGAGCATGGGTTCTGATAGATGACCAGGTCAAAACATCCAAATTTACTGATTAGACCCTCAAGTTTTTTACTAGTCAGTTTTTGAACGTCTTCAATCTGAACCAAAGTCCCAGTTTGCCCAGATTGACGCCACCACCTCTCAAGAATCTTTCTATTTGGCGCAGAAGTCTCAACTGAGACAACAGCTTTTATTTTAATATCAAGCCGGTGTAGGGCAATTTCTGCCCCACCAATACCACTAAAAAGTGACAACATTGTCAATCCACGAGGGAAGATGGGCTTTAACACAGAAAGGTGATACCCCAATGTGTCTGTCTGGAAGCAGTATTTCAGTGATCTAAGCCTTTCGGCCAAATTGTCCCCAGCAGCACGAGTGTGATTAATAGGGTAGCCTAAAATGAGTTCCAACTGTTCAGGCTCTACAGGACCCAGTTTGAATTTGCCAATCCACACAAGATTTAACCCACGACAATATCGAATAATGTCTTCCTGCAGTTTAGATGTAAGCACTCCACCTGCATCAGCTAGAATCTTCCCAAGTCTATCACAAGTTTGAGCTACTCCACTGGTTTCACAATAAATGCTGCTCAATTGCTTCCTTGAATCCCAAGGTGGCCACCATTTCTTTGTCCGCGGAATTACTTCTTCTATAGTCATAGGTGGCTTTGGAAGGATGAGGAACCTGTTTTCAACTGGGAGATTGTGTATATAACCTTCTATTCTGTCTAGAGCGGAAAAGGATTGGGAATTCACAAATTCAGGTTCAATACCATATAAAAACTGAGACATCTTTCCCCATGAGTCGTAGGATATATTTGAAACATTCCCAAATAAGAAGAATGGTGGCTTGGCTGCCACGTTACTAAGGCACCTGGATGGATTTAGTTTGGGACGTTTTGACAGTTCAGCAACAATGCTGTCAACCCTCTCTTCCACCAAACAAGGATCAAGACAAGAGATCGAATCATCATGTTCATACTTGGGCCTTTTACCTCTATCATTCTCCACAAAGTTCAAATTCAAATGCAAATATTGGTCAGAAACATTGCTGGGAAATTCATCAATTTCTTCTTCCTCCTTCACCCTATTATCGTTGTAAATTTCCTCTACAATGACGTGGCTTGATTGTGGAGGTCCATGGCTAAAGTTCTCAGCTTTCACTTCTGCTGTACCACATAAATCTATATCTGGTTCATCTTTGATCCCCACAGAATAAGCAGGAGTGGTGGGAAACTAGACAAGCAAGAAATTTCACTCAGTAAAAATCTTACTGATTATTATTACAAAAGAATGACTTTGCACAATCCAATTTTACACGGAACATGCCAAACTCGACCTTAACTTTGTTTCACAGGTTTCTTGGCACAATGGTTGATTTATGCATTTCTTATATTATAAAGTGGTTTAGACGTAACCCAATCCTACTTTTATATGTTGAAAATTGTCCCATTTATATACTTTATTTTGACATTATCTCTAGTCTACGTAAGATTTGGATTTTTCAAAATACTATACAAGATTTAAATAATATAATATACATAGAAAAGCAATTTAAATTTGGAGAAATTTTGACATAATATAGTTAAGTTCAAAATATTCTTCTATATTTTTGTTTCTTTCAGTACAATTCTGATTCTAGTGATAATATTTATCATGTGGTTGAATAGTTGTAAGAGAATGGAAGTACGAAAATATTAAATTTTGGTCATGCAATGTAGGAAATGTAGGCGAAACTTCTCAACAGTGCATATGCTTGCCACAACTTCATTTATATGCATAAAGTGTGAAAAAAAAAAAAAAACGCAAATATGATTCTACATAATAATGCTCATTATTGTTGAAATAAAGTATATAATTATATATACACACAAGCTTAATTACAAGAAATGATACAACATAAAATTTGAAATATAACCAGTAAAAAGTCTAACCTTATATTCCATCACATAATCGATACCATTTTGTTCAGCAAAAATGAAGTTTGCAAGCTCAGAAATTGGAACCTCAGAACCTGAAAACAGCCAATTGCTAAGATAAAGATGCAATGCTAATAAGTAACCTCAAGTCAAGTTCTTGTAAAAAATTATGACTGGTGAGGAATATATATCATTTTCCAAAAATCCAGAATTATAATTGGCAATGATACAAGTTCTATTCCATTGATGTCATCTCACAACTCTAAAGACAAATACTTCGAAAGGCAACCCCGCAAACCTAATTTCACGGCTGTATAGTTCTTAGAAGATCAGTTTTCAAAAAGACTGACCTAATTTATCAATTGCTGATGATACTTCATTCTCCGAGAAGCCCATTTCAAACAATTGAAGTGTTTTTGCCATAATTCCGAAGAGTTTTTCATTGCTGACCTGTGATCCCACAAGTAACAAAAATTAGATGCATAATATAGACATATTAAGATACATAAGTTAAAATAATATGCTGGAAGATTTCTTGATGTGAGATAGAAGACAACACAAATAAAGAGGATAAAACTAAGTTCAACTAAAGTAAACCTAAGATAAAGGGGAAAACTCATCAATACAAATGTATACTAAATCTATCTGACAATATCCACATATTTGCTAAGGACACACCTGGTTAAAGTCACTATTGAATTCTAAAAATCTCATACAGTAGAAAATGTATGATAAAGTTGTCTGAATCTTGTTCTCATTTGATCTTGCATTACCCATCAGCTTCTTATCTCTGGAATAACCTGCTTCATGTTTTTAGTGAACACTTGATTGATCTCAAGGAACCCTCAGAAGTTTTTAGGAGTTAGTTTAAGAGGATTTGGTACTAGCAAAGATTCCCAAATGCATTGTGGTTTTCAGGCTGTGGTTTTTTGGGTTATTTTGTTGGAAAGATGAGCTAGACTCTTCTTGGGACGCACTTTTCTATTGAGTTTGTTTGGAATTGAGTAGTTTTTCCAGCTTCTCGTAGTATTTTTCAGGGGGTGCCTTTGTTTGATATGCAGAGAGATTGGCAAGCTGCATTGCATGGTTCTTGATTCTTTTCCATTTATTTTGGTTGTCATCTTTAATTCTTGAGGAATTGTTGTTGAAGATTCTACTGCAAAAAAGTTGAATTCTACTTTGATTTGATAAATCCAACTCTCTCTTGATGAATGAAGATGTAGAATCACTTAGAGTGAGTGTGGTGGGTTGTTTTTGGTCCTATGTAAGTTTTTTCATTAATGGTTGATCTTGGTTGTTGGTTAGAAAGCCTCTCGAAATTGATTTTGAAGTTATCTTTGAAAAAGGAAACTTTTAATATGTTAAAAGATTGTTTTAGTATGTTAAAATGTCTTTTTACAAGGCTAAAATATCGAATTAACCAATTAAAATCACTTAAGGCTATAAGTGGTCTTTGAGGTTCAATTTTAATATGTTGAAATGAGTTTTTAATCAATTAAACTATTCCTGACCATTTTGAAGGTTTCAAGACGCACTGTTTTAATATGTTAAAAGGATTTTAATGGATTAATATTTTCTAGGTTCCAAAAGTGGATTTTCAGAGCATTTTGTTTTAATCTATTAATAAGGTTTTTAATGGATTAAAATCTCACTATGTTTTGAAAAGGATTTTGAAGGATTCTGTTTTAATCAATTAGATTGGTTTGAAGAATTAAAACTTCTCCATGTTTTTAAAGAGTTTTCTGACCCTTCTGTTTTAATTTGTTAAAACACATTTTTAATCAATTAATTTCACGATTAAGTGAAATTAACATATTAAAATGCAATTTTAATCAATTACAACTGTCAATTCAACTCTATATAACTCTCTCATTTCTCAACTTTTTTACAAACGATTTTGAATCAATCTTTCACAAATCATTTACTTACTTTGAGAGTAATTGTTTGAGCTAAAGAAACATTCTTGAAGGCTTTCTTGTTCAAATTTTGAGATCAATCGTTTGTGTGAAAGAAGAATCTTGTTCTACTCCTGGATATTTTGTTTTCTCTTCTATTAACAGGTTTCCCAAGTGACAGCATTTCATTTTCTTTCTGAATAGGGTTTGCACTACAATTTTGGATAGGGTTTCTGAACCTTGCAAGTGGCAAGGTGCCACTAGTTTTGGGGGATGTTTTTCTTGTAGGGTTCAAGAAATTTTTTCTTGAGTAGATAGGTTATCTGTTGTTGTAAAAACTGTATTGTTTTAGTGGAGATCTTAGCTGGTGTAATTCAAGACTACATGTAGCTCTTGGTTAAAAATAAACCCATATAAATCTTGGTATCTTTCTTCTTTCCCTTACACTTTTACATTGCTACAACTGTCTTCATACATTCTTTATGCTTTCTTGTAATATTGAGTAATTGATTTTCAAATCCTTAATCAAATTGATCAATAAAGTTTTCATTTTCGGTTAAACCAGTAATTTTTTAGAAAAATCTTTCAAATTTCAATTTACCCTCCTCTTGAACTCAACCTCTTTTAATACATTTGTTCCAACTTTAATATTTATTTTTTACTTGTAAAAAAAAAAGCGAATAGCTAAACATAAAAGAATCCACAAAGACAACCTGCTCACAAAAAAATTGTTAAACTTTTCATTTCTTTCACAACATTTTGTGTTTAGAAAGTATACCAAACTATAACCAACTTACAAATCATAAAACTTAGCATTCCTTGCTAACCTAACTCTCTAAAACTACAAAAGTTGTAGCCACTTGTCATTGTCTGTGAATCTCAAAAAATCTACTCTACTCCAAATGGATCAAGCTTCAACCCATTATATGGTTAATATGACAAGAAAAGACATGCGCAAAAAAATAAAATAAACTGATAACATAGATAGTATTCATGAAAGAAACTGTATTTTCCAGTAGAGATAAACTATATGACATTAGAATCACATAACTCTTAAGAAAAGCAAGTAGAGGCTATGGTTATATTCCCTTCAAATGTCTTCCTTATTTTTTGCATAATCTTTTTTCTCTTATGAATTAAGTTCACAACATGGACCATAATATTTTGTCTAATAGATAATAAAGTTGACGATTATTAAATGGGTCAAATATCAAAACCTCATTTACTCTTTCATAATAGGAGATATCTTCTGGTTCCTTTTTCAATTTTTTAGCAATCTGCAATGCGAAGATGAAGTCAACCAGATCAGGAATTGATGCTCCATTACCTATATAGAAAAAAAAATCAAAAAATACTTATTACTGCAAATAATCCAGAAACATAGATATGAACTTCTACCTGCATAAGTATGTTTGTTATTCCAAGAAGTTAATAAGATTTTCACAATGACTTCAGTGAAAACACCCATATAGAAAAAGTCTTCAACCATTCATATTCTAAAACTTGCTCAAACTATTCATAGTTACTAAAAGACCAATATCTGTTCAGCCAACCTAAAAAGTTAATTATCACAGCACAAATTATATAGAATATTACCCATAACACAAGTATGATCTAAATACTTTAATATATGCTTAACAACAACCTTCTTTTGTTCATTTACTTAGTATTTTGTATTACTAACATCGTGTCCAAACATGCAGGCAAGAATTAATAATTCAAGCAAGGCAAAGGCTAGCATGGACCACTTTTACAAATGTTATTAGACGTATTTTTTTCTTACCATTATACCATACTCCCTCCACACAGGATTACATTTCTCAACTCCTCTAGGCTTCAGTCCCTCCCCTCTTTTTTAGTGGCTCATCGCAAATCCTCCCCTTTTTTTTGGTGGCTCACGACCACAATTCCTTATTGGAGAAGTTTACGTTTGTCAAAGGCCACCCCAAATTTTAATGGGATAAGTTTAGGTCTGTTGGAGAGGTTCCATTTGTTTAACTCAGTTTCAAGTTCTTAGTCTCAAAGTGAACCATTTCTCTTATTATACCATTTTCAACCTTACCACTCTTCGTTCTCAAACTTCTCTGACACCATCACACTGCTTTTCAACCTCTACCATTTGACCCACAACAATTTTTCTGGTGAGATTTCATCAATGCTCACCCACTTTCCTCACCACCATACTCTCTGTACCAAGAAAAGCAAGTTCTCCAACCACCACCTCTCTGACAAAATACACAAGTTCTTATCAAAATTCTCCAATACCTTCTTTGAGTAAGACCCATTTCTCTATGAAGTCCTAATTAGAATTTGAAGACTCAACTATACCAAACTCAGATTTGAAGGGGCCATTGTTTCACTATTGTGATCACATGATAACAACGCAACAACTACTTGAACATCTTTACTAGGTTCAGTGCCAAAAACATCAACAAATAATAAAAGCCATAAAAAATATGTTGTGAAGAAGATAAGTCTCATGGCACATATAGATATTATAGTGGGTGACTTTTTGGTTCTTGGCATAATATGCTGAAAAGGGGAGCAGATGGTACGTGATGGAGAGAGAAGATCACAAGTTTTCTTACCATGGTAATGGACTCATATCAACAAGGGAGGAGCTGAAGAGTAAAGAGGGGAAATAATGCTATGCAGAGGGTGCATAATATATTGATAAGGACCAAATGCAATTGATGGTGATTAAAAGTGGTGTACCGCTGACCAACTATGAAGGTGACCCATGCTAGCCTTTGCCCTCAAGCAAACAAATCTATTTGAAGTCCTGCACTACTTCCTTGGCTACTCAAGAAGACCTATACAACACTTTCTAGGTCAATTATGACAAGAAGAACTGTTACAATAAATATTACGGCCCAAATACAATCAGAAAGTATTCACTGATCCCACAAAGTAACAGTGCTGCTGAATATGTACATTTTCATACCAAGCTTGTGGATTGCATATTCAACTTCCTCCATAGAGAAGTTCATCATCAATAAGGAACCTCTTTTATCATCAATGACTCCACTAACTTCATCGGGCTCCTGCAAGAGAGATTTTGTCAAGAAAGAATCAAATTGAATTAGCCAAAACAAGGACAAGCTTAAATACATCATGATACATATTTAATTTCATCCTGGATAGAAAAAGTAAATGCATCACCTGCCCTTAGTAAAAGGGAACTAGTGACCATAGCTTCAGATAATGGACATGGTATGCAACAAACAGGTGCCAACCCACTGTTATCAGAATCCTATGTACTACAATTCAATCCATTTCTCAGTTCCAGAAATATAGATTGACAGCAAATCATTTTTGGTGCTACATGGCACTATGAATCATCTCTATTATCTTCGAATTAGTTGAATCTCACGAGTTTGACGACAAATGGGTCACACATGCAACTGGATCAGCTTGTGTATGACCTGGTTCTGGAAAATCCTAAAAAGAATTGTTTCTTTTTTTAATTGTACAAAAATAAAAGGAAATATCTAATTTTTCCCCTCCAATATAGCACATTTTGTAAGAAGCCTATTTTTGTTTAATCCCTTCTCTGTCTCTCCACATACATTTTGGTGCTACACATGCTTCATAGTCTCCTACTTGTTTATTGTTGGTTGAATTCACTATGTGTATGGAGAATGCAACAAACTGATGAATACAACTTTAGATGATGCACATGGTATATGCAATGCAACAAAAAGATGCACACCATTTTAAAAACTACTCAAGCAGTTTTAAAGGTTGACAATATGATGCAAGAATATCTGAAAAGCAATTTTATGAAAAAGAAAATATCTATTTAGAATTTGGGATGACATATGAATACACCTGAACATTAAAAAGATTAAACCAGTGTACAGTCGAAGAACTAGCTGATAGTATATGATTATAGTGCGCAACAAAGCAGCAAAATAAAATCCCTGTTCCACTAGGTGAGATCGACAACATAAATTGCACAACACCATTTGGCTCAAATCAAATATTCAAGTTCAAAAACTAAACTCATTCTCACCATGGATAAATTTAGTAATGAACCAATAGATGATTTCTAAGGAATAAGAAGCAGGTACCTCTTTTGCTTGGTTGACATTGGAAATCTCTGGAGGATCCTCATCATCAAATAAGCTATCCAGAGAATCAGAAGACAGTGAATTTGATTTTCGCATAGCCTATATAAATTACAAAGCAATAGAAGTAACAGTTAAGTTTTACATAAACCATTATAGAGTTAACTGATTTTTTAAATAATAAAACAATATATAATGTGGAAAAACAGAACCAACAAGATAATTATCCTATTCTAGGTGACACTGACTCATCAATTTACAGCGATCTTATTTTCACTCTGGTTCACTCGAATGCAGGCAAACACCTTAATATATATTTAAACAATTGCATTTGGTGAGGCCTATGAATTTCCCTTACATGCAAAATTTGCAAAGTCAAATACAGCTTGGCAGAACTACTATCTAAAGAAGCAAATTGCACAATTTGGAATTAGCACACATGGTTAACGTTTCAACATAAAACCAATTGGCGATATGTAGTAGGTATTTAAACCATACCATATGACATGAGGCAGACGATGTGGGACTTCTAACACACCCCTTCTAACGAAATCTGCCGAACCAGGCAAATGGTATCTTAAGGGCAACTTTTGACCCAAGACAATAACCGGAAAAAAATTAGGTTTTGGCTTTGATATCATGTTAAGGTTTCAACATAAAACCAATTGGCGATATGTTGAATAGCCTAACAGGTGTTTAAACCATACTATATGACATGAGGCAGACGATGTGAGACTTCTAACACACAATTCTTCAAGGATCCCTTGCTTGACACATCAATTTCCAGATTCATATATTATTAACAATCACTCTTATTAAATTGCCACAACGATGGATTATGGTGGCACATTTTGAAGAGGTTTGTTGTCCCTCCATGGAAGGTCATGTCATGTGAAGCATTTGAGGGCGGTGTTTTTGTCTTGAAGAGAAAATCATATTTTGCGGGAAACAAAATAAGTGCACATTTGCAGATAACAAAGTGGAGAAGCACATTATTAATGCATCTGCAACCAATTATAGATTTTTTTATTATTAATTCATATCAATTTTTTCTAGAACGATATATAAATATAAATATTTGTACAGATGTACTCACACCAACATTTTTAGAATTTTATTCTTTTGCACAATGCCTTTACCGGTTGGAAAGGACTCAAGAGATGGTGAATAAATCTTGGAGAAACATGGTTACTAAGACTTTAGGCAAATCAAGAATCAAGTTTTGTTATTATCTCATCATTCAATTACTTGAAATATTTGATAGTTCTCTTCTCTCTACCAAAATAATTCACATGATACAACAAAAATTTGTTACACTGAGCTCCTTCCCATCCCAAATTCTAACTCCAAGAGCAAAAAAAGACCACTTGTATTACTTAAAAATCTAATATGGGGACAAATCTTTACTTTTCTAGCAGTAGGAGAGGGAAGGATAGTCAACACTAAAATGTCTATTATTGGGGTAGAGCATGATAGAAGGCAGTTAGTTACCTCTTTTGTGTGACCATCAGGATAGGTATTTGGGGCACTTCTACCCCTGCTTGTATTGCGAAAGCTGCCCAAATTATCAGATGAGTCACAATTGGTTTTATGAGCCTAATCAATTGGAAATATAGTCACCAATCAGGATATTAAGTCCAGAATTTCAGAAAGCATATTGGCAGCAGTATGAACATATGAAGAGAGCAAACACAGCTGCTGAGCAACATTACAAGTTTCTAAGCATTAAAAAAAATCATAGAGCAAAGCAGTATTTTATCCTGTTCCTCAATGGGAAATCTGACATGCAGATAAATAAATAAATGTGTGTGTGTGTGTGTGTATATGTGTATATATATATATATTCCTTGCAAATTATTTAGTACTTATACATTTGACAAAAAAAGCTTACCCAAAACCCTATTCACCACTATAAAATATAGTGAACGGGAAATCAGATATGTAAATATAAATAAGAAACGGATGTTAATTATTTAGTTAGTCAGCTACTGTTATTTCATAGAGATTTGGTAGCTTCTTATAAATAAGGTATGCTTTTGTATTCTAGACAGTTAAATAAAACAGTGAATGTAGACAGATTGAAAGGATAATCAAGTGCAGCACGGTTTCTTTGACCTCTTGCTTCTTTTCTCTTCTCTCTATCCTCTCTAGTCTGTTCTTCTTTCCTGTTCCCCTCTTTCTTTCTCTGTCTTTCATGTTTCTTTCTATTTCCCTACTAAATTCTATATCAGAATCAATAGCACATTATATTAGAGTAAATGTTCATTTTGATCCTCTAAAGATATGCTCAATATCACTATAAGTGGCATCAACTTGTTCCTTCAATGATTTTGCTTTGATCCTTGTAAAGACCAATTTAATATCACTTTAAGGACCAAACAAATGGCATCAATTGATACTGAGGAACTATTTGATAAATTTACAAATGAGCACTAATTTGACAATACGTATCTTGAAAGATAAGTAAGGTATATATACTAGTAAATTATACAGAAAATAGAATACAATGTCCTCTCTAATAGAAGAGATAGGACATGAATTAAGGAGTTAGTTATCTGCATCCTTAAAAATATTGTGACATTTATCACTATTTAAAAAATAGTCAAGATCACTCAAGTAGTCCAATAAAAACTCACACAGGAAAGTGGATGGATATTTGCTACTTATTTAAATGGTTAGCATACAATTTCACTAGACACTTGATAAAATGACGTAATTTAAGTCTTGGTGCAGAAGGTTCCCTCAAATGTGGGGGTTAAGGAAATATAGAGAACAAAGAACCTTACAAATAAAAAACTAAATCAATTGTTTCTTTGCTTTACTATTTTTTCTACTTTGTACAAGCAATATGCAATTCATGGACTTGTAAAATGATAATTTGAATCCTTCATGCATATGCATATCAGTATGTACAGATAAAATTTTCTAATCTCAAATGAGTATGCACAACATCATTCAGATATCATTATTTATAAATCCAAAAATTAAACAAATAAAAACATTCCAATCTCAATCCCAATAGTGCCAACAATAAAAACACACTGTAATATATATTTTGGCCCACTTACAGAAAATCTCAAGAGTGCCTCTAATAATGTTTCAGAATTTTCTTCGCCTGTACATTTTAAACAAAATCAATCAGAATAATAATAATTCAAATGGCAAAGTATCATGTGTTTGTTGCATGACATAAGTATCTGGATCCCACATAATGTACCATTCTCCTCAATCACTTTATCAACATGGTATGGTAGGAATCCCATTCCAATAAAGAACGCTCGTAGTTTTCCCCCAGATGAGCTTGCCCCATTGTCATCCTGTTAGTACTCATCACGTTACTATGTAGAGAATTGTAAATGAAGAAAATTCAATAAATAGCTAAGGCAAACAAAGTAAAGACTTTTGAAATATTGATAATTTCATATACAAAAATTAGGTTATCCCTTTAACACACAAGACTAAGATGTATATACATTTTTAATTGCATGGATCGTTCTTAGAGACTTTTTATTTCAATATTGGAATTTGGTTATCACAATTTGTCTGATTAAATAGTGCACTATGGTACTGATATCGTCACATAGTTCATTAAATAGTGCACTATGGCACTGATATCGGCACATAGTGGAGCGGACCCTGTTCATTATTGGGCTCGGTAGAAGAGCAGTTTGGTGTAGTGTGTAGGGCCTGCAGTGGCTAATTATCAGCTGTAGCCAATGTGTTGATTCCTAAAAAAACTATGAGCATATCTATTAGATCTTGTTTGAAGGCTACCTTTAGTATTTCAATTCTCAAAAATGAAAGTGGGAGAGTAATAGTAGTGCAAATGATAAAAAAAGTAAGTTTGATTTAGAAGATTATAATTGATGATTAATATTTTTAATGTAAGAAACTTGTGTTTGACTTTTGTTAGTTTTTACTAGCATGTTTTGTTAAGATACTAAAGACTTTTTGTTTTTAATTACGAAAATCTTTAAAATAGTGACTATCATACTTCACGCGATCCTGTTATAGAATTTTATGGGTATACATACTGGGATTTAAAACACTGAGGTTAACATCCAGAGAACAGTAAATAACTAAGGGAATAATGAGAGTGCATGATGTGCATTGTGTATATTTTGAGACATAGACAGCATACCCCAACATCCCCTAAAAATGTAGTATAAGGTGGCAACTCATGATCCAAATCCTCAGTTTTTGGAACCATAACAGTTTTTCCTTCTCTTGTATTTGAATTTCTCGTCATTTTACCTGCATATTTAAAAACAATATGTGATTGAATCAATACAATAGCTATTTCAAATTACTAGTGGAATGATATGCATAATTATACTGAAGTAGAACATTATTAGAAAATCTAGAAGACCAGTCCCACAAACCTTGCATGTATCTAAAATCTGCAGAAAAATATAATATGAAATCAAACATGTTCAACAAATACTAACAGCATTGTCCCAGCATACTGATTCTATAAACCATGGTTTCAAATGCATAACCCTGAAATTGCGCTATTTTTTGTAAACCTCACGAAATATCTGCAACGCCACAACATTGCCAATCAAACAGCCACATCAGACTGCATCAGACCCCAATAGGTTGGGATATTTGTTTATAAAGTTACTCTTTCATTCTTCCTCTTTATTTGTGTGGAATTAGGGAGGGAGAACATGTAGAATAGTTAAAAACTAGTCATGATAAATTATATTTGGTGCAAAACATAAAACAAAAATTCACGCGTCATTGGCCACAACTACTACACCTTCACGACCACAATTTTAAAACATGATATAAACTACTATTCTTGTTTTTCAAGTTTGAATTAACAACATGCAAAGGCATGATAATAACAGTAATAACTGTCAACTTATAATTAATTAATTATTTTTACAAATTTTAATTAATTATTTAGAGGCAACTAGCGTAACAATAGAACACTATCAAAGGTATATCCTAGACAACATGCTAAAACATACTCAGCCCTATTTTAATTCATATTTTCAGTTTAAGTCCTGCTTTAATCGGATAACAGTAATAGAAACATTGTCGAGAAGAAAAGGTTCTGGAAATTCAGGAATTTCATAAAGGCGGAATTGGTTTCATAATGCAATCATTGCTGAACCGGACCAAACCGGTTCAGGCTCATCCAGGAACTGAAAGTTTTGCGAAAACAATAAAGGGAAGAAGCTGTGAGAATAAGAAACAGAAATGCAGGAGGCGAAAGGAGAATACCTAATCGGAGAGAGTGCCGGCGCGTGTACACACCCGCTCTACACCCTCATGAACCTTAGATTGAGATTCCCCAGAAACTGGAGAGGAGAGAAGAAAAAGGAAGTAGTAATTCAGATTTCAGGGTGGCAGTAACAAAGGAGTGAAACATATATGCACGAGAGCACAACATAAATAACATAAGTTATAAGGGATTCGTGGGTCCCACTCATGCCATCTCAACTGACTCGGTCACACGTATCTTGCTTTTGTTGTCTGTGTTCGGTCACACTCATTAATCCTTTGTTTCACAGGTTGCTCTTTTGGGGTTAAAACGGACTTTATACACTCACTTGGGAGTACTTTGCAAAAATTGAGAAACATGATTAGGTAAACTAATTTATCATACGGATTAATAGATTTATTAATAAAATAATAGATGGTTTCATTTATGCATAATTAAAAGTATTTTACATAATTACAATTTTATTTTTCTTAACAAGTCCTCCACAACAAGAGATTGAATAATAACAAAAAATGTACTAAAAATTGAATAAAATTTAACAAATCTTCATATCCAAAATATTCCTATATATAGATTGAATAAATAAAAAATTGATCAACAACAATAAATATTACACAAAACTTGAAACACAAAATTCAATTGTCCAGTGAGATATTGTGAAGCAAATTATGAATCTATCAATCCTCTCATTGCTACGTAATTGTCGTAGCAGAGAAGAGAAAATAAAAGCGTCTTTACCTTAAATCTCAACCTTGATATTTGTCATCATCGTTGATTTATTGCTTCTCCTTTTGCTAGGGTTGTCATCCTCTCATTATCGAGGCTCCTCACTTTCACCTTTGTAGAGGCTTCCTCACTTATCTCGTTATTGTGTGTTTTATTTTTTCAAATTGTAAATGGAAACCTGATTTTTAATAAAATCACTTTTTGAACTCTCAGTTGTCGTTTTGATATTTGATTTTGGGTGTAAACAAAATAGTTTATGTTTATAAAACAAAAATATATTTTGAAATCGAAAAATATAGGTTCCTTGGACAACCCAAAATCTCTTGCTAAAAATGAGGGTTTAATTTGTAATTATAAATAGGTAATGAACCAACTTCTAAATTATAAATTTACCTAAGATTCTCTGTGTTGGGAACTCCACAAACACCACTCCCAATTCCAAACTCATAAAATTAAATAAAAACAAAAGATTCAAAAAGAACAGAGAATCCAATACAAGAAAGATTGAAATTTGAAACATTGTTTCTTTCTCAGTAAAACTTGAAACTTAAACCGAAATAAAAGGGAAAAACGAAGAAGAAGAATTCATAGCTTCCTCCACGGTTCCATCAGCAAGCAGAATCAGATTGGGGATGTTACCCCCAAATTTAAATTTTAGGGTTCACGAAAATTAGAGATTATTCTCCACTTAGGGTTCATAAAATTGGGTAATTTGAATTGTTTAAAACAAAATTAATCCTAATTTTCATAATTAGGGTTCTATAAATTAAATAGACATGAATCAAATATGGGCGACTCTGATACCAATTGTTGGAAAAACAATAATAGTAATAATAATAATAATCCTGATTTTGATTCTAACGATCAAACATAAACATAATCACATACTGATAAACATGTTGTAAACTGAATGCGAAAGCGTACCTGAATTAGCCATAACGATGATGTCTTTGTAGAGCACTATATTGATCTTATGGTCTTCCACCTGAAGAGCACCTGTATTTCCCTCTTGATTTTCTCTCTTGATGGGGATAGAAAGAAAGGAACGAGACTGATACTTACATTCTGTGTGTGCTCCCAGAAGGGGACCACGACCCCTTAAAATAACCAGAATTAGGTTAATTACTTAAGTTTTAGTATTTCCAATTTGGCCCCTTATCAAATTAGAAATTGCTCAATGGTCTCTACACAATTTTATTTTCATGACATATGCCTTTAGCCAAAACTTTAATTTAGTCAGATCATTTTATTATTTGGCTTAATAAATAATGACCCTAACACATTTAAATTATGTATCATATATATACATAACCCAAATTTTGCCAACATAAAAGTCATGATTGAAGGAAACAAATTCTCCCGTTCGAGATATCTCATCATTTTTGTTTCAGTAGGTAGCTCCAAGTCAATGTACCACGGTCGTTTGTGTAGTTTGAAAGAAGTAAAGTGACAAGAAATAGAAGTCTATGAATTTGTGAACAAGCGAAACGTATTCTTCAAGAAACACATTCTCTCGCTAGCGTTCTTCTCACCTTTTCAGGTTAAAGGTGAAATGTGTTTGTAGCTCCCAATCGAGTGCAGCATGGTCATCTTCGTAAAGTGAAAAAAGGAAGCAAAGTGACATTTGTAACATGTGAATTGTACATACTGCACTGTAATAGGAAACTACTTTTTAATTATAGACTTAAGTAAGATTTTTACATAAAAACTCAAGATTGTATGCACCTATTTTGTAATGCAAATTGACTTCAACCTCCAAAAAAACCAAACTAAAAGATATTAACAACGCTCACTTCAGTGCCAGTACCCTCGCTTGAGCGACAAAAGACCCAATTACCCCAATAAAATAACAGAGATATTCGCTTTAGTGAGAAAACATTTGCTCTAGTGAAAAATGGCCTGAGAAGAGTTTTTGCTTTTGTTGGTGGCCTCGCTCGAGCAATTATAACTACATTGGGAATCGCTTGAGTAAGGATCGCGTCGCTTGAGCGATAATACATAGCTCGAGCGAAAGGCGACCTGAGAGGAGTTCTTGTTTTGGTTCGGATACTCGTTCGAGTCATCAATAATACCTCGGAACGTGCTTGAGTGAGGAAATAGTCGCTTCAGCGAAAAAACTTAGCTTGAGCGAAAAAAGACCCAAGAAAAGTTCTTGTGGTCGTTGGCGTCCTCGCTCTAGCGATTAATAGTTGTTTGTTCCTTACTTGAGATATTCGCTCTAGCGATAAAATAACAGAGATATTCACTTGAGTGAGAAAACATTCGCTGGCCTGAGAGGAGTTTTTGTTTTTGTTGGTGGCCTCGCTCGAGCAATTATAACTACATTGGGAATCCCTTGATCAAGGATCGCGTCGCTTGAGCGATAATACATAGCTTGAGCAAAAGGCGACCCGAGAGGAGTTCTTGTTTTGGTTGGGATACTCGTTCGAGCCATCAATAATACCTCAGAACGCATTTGAGCGAGGAAATAGTCGCTTGAGCGAAAAAACTTAGCTTGAGCGAAAAAAGACCCGAGAGAAGTTCTTGTGTTTGTTGGTGTCCTCGTTCTAACGATTAATAGTTATATGTTCCTTACTTGAGCGAGTCTTGCCTACTGTAAATGGTTAGCCCCTTAACTTTATTAGGTTAACTAGACAAGGCATTTTGTTTCATTTAGATTATGCCTATATTCATTCCCACAACAGATATGGTTATGTTCTTGACATTATATGGTTAACTATAAATGACATTTTATTTTGTTTATCTGCTACGTTTATTCAATGCAATCATATATGGTTACCTCCTTGACATTATATGGTTAACTATTAATTACATTTTGTTTTATTTATCTCCTGAGTTTACCATATGTTGTTACCACCTAGGCTTTGTATATGGTTAACTTAAGAGGGCATTTTGTTTTTTTTTTTAATATAATAAGTTTACATGGTTACCTCATTCAATTTACATTTTATGGTGTGGCTATTAGGAAACATGTGAAAGAGGAATTTGGTCTTTTTTTTCTTCGTACCTTGTATATATGGTTACCCCATTCACTTTATATGGTTAATTGAACATGATGTTTTGGTATTATTCATCTTATCATCTTATGATCATATTGTCTTCCATTTCTTTCAACATTAATACTATGTTTATTGTGAAACATGTTAACGAACAACTTTTTTTTCTCATACCCTATGACATATGATTAACCACTTTACTTTATATTATTTGCTACACATGAAATTTTGTTTCACACCTTTCATAGCATTTATACATAACCACATGAACATACATGCTTAGGCGAACAATACAACCAAGAAAGATATAATAATATGACTATGTTATAAAAAGTAATGTCCAATATGACATTATCAAAGGCCACAAAACTTATACTATAAAGGTTTAAAATAAAAACATAAAAAATAAATTAATATGTTTATGAGGACAAAAGAAAAGTAATTTTTTAAACAAGTTTTATTAAAATTTTAATAAACTAACCATATTATGATTAAACAGAGCTATAATTTCACTTTCCCAGATTACAATGGATATCCATTATAAAAATCTAGGAAAATTAACTTATCTCGGTACATGTTTTAGTATTATAAATTAGAACATGCTCCATAGTCCATATCTAAATTAATATCAATAAAATACACAATATCAAATCAAATGATTATATTAAAAGCACTCTAACAAAACATAAATCACGATTTAGGATTTATCTATAATAAAAATGCAGTTGTAAACAATTTATTCGCTTCGTCAAATAAATTGATGATTCACATAAACTTTCAACCAAGTATTCATACATAACTTTTCCCCAATTATACTGTCCAAGACAAGATAAATCATCTATTAACTTAAAAAATCTAAAATGTGTGGTACCTAGTTTATTTGGAAATGAAAACTCTTACAAACCAAAAAGTATGTACTACCTACAAAAGTCATTGACATTTCTATCATTTGACGTTAACAAGTTCATTGAAAATCATTTCCAAAGTAACATGTTTCCCATTAAATAGTCTCCTAATATAACAATAAATATTTTCTTCTACAATTTTGACATTTTTACCTATTACACGAAGTCCTAAACCTAAACACACATCTAAGAATTTAAAATATATTATTTCAAACCTTATATATTAAATCCTTCTCTCTTTTCAACCCACCTACTTATTAATTCACTAAGAAATGTTATGCCAATTTTAACATTTCTACCCAATGGCATCAACCATTTAAATGGTGTTGATTTGATATGACATTTTTGCTCATTTGTTAGAAGTTTTTATATCCTTTATTTTTCTTGTCATGATTAACATGGTTCTTAAACTGAGAGTGAGAGGAAGGTGGGTAGAAGGAGACGAGGGGAATATTATTTTTTTTAATGGGGTTGTCAAACATATATTTATAATAGGGTTGTCAAAATATCGGTGCCCAATATATTAATGATAAATCATTATTATAACATACTTTTTCTTTTAATATATTAAAAAAATTCCTTTAATTTTAAGTGACATGTTAATCATGACAAGAAAAGTAAAGGATTGAGAAACTTCTAAAAAAAAGAGCAAAAAAGTTGATTTAAGTCAACACCATTTAAATGATTGATGTTATTTAGTAGAAAGGTTAAATTAGGAGAATACTGCTTAGTGAATTAATAAGTAGATAGAGGAGGATTTAATGTAAGGTCATAAATAGTATGTTTTACACTCTTAGATGTGTGTTTAGGTTTAGGATTTCATGTAGTAGGCAAAAATGTCAAAATTGTAGAGGAAGACATTGATTGTCATACTAGGAGACCATTTAATGAGAAACATGTTACTTTAGAAATTATTTTGAATAAATTTGTTAAACGTCAAAATGATAGGGATGTCGACGATTTTTGTAGGTTGTACATACTTTTAGGTTTGCTAGAGTTTTTATTCCCAAATAAACTAGGTACCGCATATTTTAGGTTTTTTAAGTTAATAGATGATTTATCTTGTCTTGGAAAATATAATTGGAGAAAAGTTGTGTATAAATATTTGGTTAAAAGTTTGACGAAGCAAAGAACTTGTTCACAACTGCATGTATTCAGATGTGTATTTTTGTTATAAGTAAATCCTAAATTATGATTTATATTTCGTTATACTACTTTAATGTATTTATTTGATGTGATATTGTGTATTTTGTTGATATTGATTCAGATATGGGCCATGGAGTATCTTTTAGTTTACAATACCAAAATATGTAACAAGATAAGTCGATTTCCTAGATTTTTACAATGTACACCTGTTGTAATTGGGGAAAATAAAATTATAGTTGTGTTTAATCATAATATGGTTACTTTATTAAATTTTAGTAGAACTTGTTTAGAAAATTCATTTACCATATGTGAGTATATGATTTGAATATGATATTGTTTTTTATTCATAGGTTATTCATAATATGTGTCTCATAAATGAAGACCTTACTCATGATATAGTGAACAAATTATTAACACATACCACCCATGAATGTGAAAAATTGGAAAATTGTACTGGTAAGATGTCTGAAATTATTGCTAAGAAACAATTGTTTATTGTCATAACCAAACAACTAAAATCAACAAAATGTCATGTAGAAAAAATCATATAAAGTCAAGTGGTTACCCATATGTCATAGGGTATGAAAAAAATATTCTTTGACATGTTTCACAATAAACATCATACTCATTTAGAAAGAAATGGAAGACAATGTGATCATAAGATGATGAGATGAATAATACCAAAACGTCATGTAAAGTGAATGGGATAACCATATATGCAAGGTATAAAAAAAAATCATAGTTGTCTTTCACATGTTTCCTAATAACCACAATATAAAATGTAAAGTAGATGGGGTAAGCATGTAAACTTAGCATATAAATAAAACAAAATCTCTCTTAAGTTAATCATACAAAGTTCAGCTGGTAACCACATATGGTAAACTCAACAGATTAATAAAACAAAATGTAATTGGTAGTTAATCATATAATGCCAAGGAGGTAACCATATATGATTGCATTGAATAAATGTAGCAAATAAACAAAACAAAATATCATTTACAATTTACCATATAAAGTTAAAGAGATAACCATATGTGTTGTGGGAATGAATAAACATAGAATCTGAATAAAACAAAACGTCTTATCTAGTTAACCCGATAAAGTTGAGGGGCTAACAATTTATGGTAGGCAGGTGTTAAGTGGTAAAAAGTTTATATAATTATACTTTGAATTGTTATGAAATCACTTAACTTATGTTAATTCTGATATATTTTTCTCCCAATATAAGATGAATTTGAGAATACCTTGATACAAGAGCAAAGATCATAATTGTGAAGTAATTGAAGAAAAATTGAAAGAAAGAATAACGCTTAAGCGAATGAATTATGCGAGGTCCGACCCAAATTCTCTTATAAAAAGATAAGATGTGTTTTGAGAAAAGCAAGCAGTCTTGGAGAGGAGGAGACACGACTACTATTAGGGTTTTGTCTAATTTTCATCAATTCTTCATTTCTTCATCAATTAGAGCATTGTAATGGCCAACATGAGTGGCTAACTTCATTCTCTTGGGATTGGGTGCACTTCCTTTGAACTTTTTTGTATCATGGTGATATTTTGATATATTAATCACTGCTTTGATGATATTATTCTTATCCTTTATGCTTTAGAATGATTTATTCTTAATTGTTTGAGGTATGATTGAAAAATATATCTTGAACACTAGATCATGGTAAGAATATTTGTTACATTAATTGTCAAGAATGGAATGAATGTATCAATTGCTTAACACCCTAACCCTAATGTTGGAAAATCTCTTAATTGTGTGAGGAATCAACATTTATTAGGTTTTCTTATGAATTCCATGTGTGAGGAATCAACATGGATAAATTGAGTAGGTGACATCAACATTGTTAGGTTAATTGACGTTCTTAATTGACATAGTCATTACAAAAGAGGGATAAGGAAGGAAGTGAATCCTAAGTACCATTAATTGATATTTTCTCAACAATTTAC